ATTTATTTCACATTTTAAGTTTGCAATAAATAAACAAAATAGGAAAATATAGAGTAGACAGGAGAAAAAGATTTGGTTTCTCAGAGGTGGCATTTGTGCCTAAGAATGCAGTAACAGGTAAGAATGGGTCCATGTTTTTTATACAGAGACTGTAACTAGACAAAGACTTAGGGCAGGCAAGCTAGGAGGTTTCAACAAGGAAATTAGCGAAGAAGCAGGCAGTAAGTTCACACCAAACAGGGACTGTCGGAAACAGTAAGTGATCTGGATGCTGTTTGAATTAAAATCTGATTTATGATTTGTCATTTTTAAAAGTCCTCTGTGTGGATGAATGGTTAAATCTTGTGTGTGTTGTGTGTGTGTGTTGTAGAAGAGAGAGGAGCTGGAGGCGGCTGCTGTTGTCATGGTGAGAGCTGACATGGCTGGGGAGAGGATGATGGGGTGGAAGCCACTAGATCAGATTTACTGTCCGTCTTTGATTCATCAGCAAGTTCTGTCCGCTCTACCTTCAGAATTAGGTTATAGAGGTTAGATTATATTTTGAGTCTGGCAGAACTGGATGATAAATTTGAAGGGCGAAGAAAGCAAAAAACGGTCAACTGTGCCGACTTTTATGATGACCTTGTAGGTTAAATGGCTGACCTTGTAGGTTAAATGGCGTGCTTATCTGCTGAATATACGAAATCCCCTGGCCCTCCTGTTTCCAGCCCTGATGAGCAGTGCTAGCATCCCTGTAGAAACTTCAGATTCATCCAAGAAATCTATCCTGTCCAAAGTTCCCAAATCCTATTACCTCTGTCTCTTTACCATCTTTCAAATCTGTCCCCGCTTTCTCTCTACATGGTCTTAGACGCCAAGACTATGAACATGGCTTACTTAATATCCAGATGTCAACTCTAATCAAGTACCATACTTCACACTGTTCTTCGACTGGATACCACTCAACCATCTTTTAACAAAATAGTTTAGCAGTATCTACTGAAGTATAACCAGACACATCCTGTTGGTTTAGATGCTTCATGTGCTAAGCTGGTCCTGGTGTGGGGACAGAGGAACAATTAAAAGTTGGCTCTGATGATGGTCACATCACCAGAAATGGAAAATGCTGCCTCTTAGGGTGGGTTCCCACAAGAGCGTGTCATGATAAAGTAAGTTCATCCCATGTATTTATTTGGCTCTTCTACAAACAGCCATTTCTCTTTCCACCATTTTGTGTGGCAGCCATCATCTGAGGCCAGACAGACGGGAATGTCTGCTCTTGAGATTTTCAGCCTTAAAAACTCCCTGAACAAACCAAACCGCTGTTCCCTAGAGAGTATCCCACCTCAGCTATTTGTTACAGCAACATAAGGCAGACTATCACACCCTTTGGCTATTTCTCTTATGATTCTACATTACAGAAATAACCAAAAGAAATGAAAATGTAAGGACAAGATTAGTTGTCAATAAAAGAGACTGTATAAACCATAATATGGTATTTTAACATTCTATATAGCTCTAATTTATATATATTTTTATATATTATATAAAACATTATATACTTTCATATTATATAATATATTACATATTTTTATATATTATATATTGTTTCTGTAAAAATTAGAGCTATATAGAATATATGTACATATATATATGGCAGTATATATAATTCCACTAATACAGAAGGGGGCTAAAGGCATTGAAGATGTTGGAATAAGCAAACTGTCAACTGTTCCTCAGAACAGTGAAATGGGGGTGGGCCGATGAGTTCTCAGTTCTTACTATCTTTATTTCTAATTGGGTAATTTTAAAACATTAGACACATTTATGTAACAACGAGACTATACAACCACCTCGTATGTCTTACCGTGATTCAAGAGCCTGGCACTTGTACTCTTTCTAGGCTAATTTCATAGACTTATTTACATTGGGTAGGCGATAACGTACTTTAGTATGAAGCGAATCGTGGGCTGACACTTGAAACTGGGTCATGCACTGGGCCTACCAGCTTTATAAGTGAATTCGAAAGGCTGCCCTGGCACTTGGACATAAAGCTCTCTCTGAAGAGAGGCCAGTTATCTGCTTCTACATGCACTTAAAGGAACGAGGGAATTGGCCTATCTCTCTAGCTCTCCAAAGGAAGATTTCATTACTTTCCCCTTTCTCAATCCACTACAGGTTTAAGAGCTATCTGCACTAATCCTGTTCAGTTTATTTCTTTTATAGCAGGATGGAAAAAAAAAAAGAACATGAATAGACAGTGAGTTTACCACAGTACCAGTTTCTTCCTCAAAGTCTTCCTTTTCTGGGAAAGAATTTTTAGCTATTAAAAAAGCGACAGCAGCCCCGATGTTAAAGATAACATAGCTTTGATAAAAACAAAGTGCAAAACAAATAAGGAAGTGAATCGTCTCAAAAATCTGAAAGACTTTTTTTTTTTATTCCCAGTAGTGGAGAGCCCCGGATGCTAGGCAAGTGCTCTGCCAAGGAGCCCTACTGAGCGCGGAGTGTCCCTTCCAGCCCTCAGGTGACTTTTGATGGTTGGAATAAGAAACTGTTATTATATACTTCCTTTTTTAAAACTTGGGAATTAAGAGAAAAAAGCAACACATCTATGATGAGGGATTCCCCTCTGTATGCTGTGAATGCCTTTGGTTAATAAAGAATCTGCTTTGGGCCTATTGCAGCACAGAATAGGGCAAGATGGGAATTCTACGCAAATAGAGGCGAGAATGGGTGGAGTCAAAGCGATGCCATGTAGCCTCCACAGGAGACAGACACCAGAAGCCGATGGAACCTTACTGGTAGGCCACAACCACGTGGCAATACACAAAATAACGGAAATGGGTTAATTGAAGATATAAAAGCTAGCTAGCAATACGCTTAAGTGCTTGGCCAAGCAGTATTGTAATTAATACAGTTTCAGTATGACTATACGGGGTCAGGGCGGCCAGAAACTAACGAGCAGTCTCTGCCAACACACCTACATCTTTTTTAGAGTGGTCCTGACTGGAAATCTAGGCATGGAGCCAAATGATGGAATAAAGTGAACATGCCCTTGCTGTTGGTACCCCAACCTCTTATAATATCAACAGTTATAAAATACTCAATTATTCTTCCCTAGAAGTTAAGTACCACAGCAACATGGGGGGGGGGAATAAAAACTCAATTATCTGCCATTCATTTCGTGACCTGCCCTCTACTGTAGTCTCTCTATTAAAAGATGCTTTGTCTGGTTTTGACTTACTTTAGCTCATTATAAGGCATTTTCTGTGGGTGCTGTTTGGCTTTATTTTTAAAAAAAAATAAATATCACTTGCCTCCATAAAATAATAGGTGGAATAACCCTGGGGACCCTAGTAGAGCAACCATTCTTAAGACTGTTGAGAATGTAGCCAGGAAACGGCATCGGAGGTAAGGGTGTCTGGTCAGCTAGTGCTAGGGTTAGCGTCCATTCCCTTGCCTTCCTTCCACCAGGGTCTGCTGGATGGATCATTTAAATTTAATATTCCTTAAGAGATATTGTGAAAAGGTGGGGGAGAGGCTTCAGAATAAACAAAAAGAATCCTCTTCTAGGGCAGATTAAAATGAAGCAGCCCTGGGCAAGCCTAGATCGCCTAGGGCAAGGGAGCTCATTGCCTTAGTTTTGGGGAAAAAAGTGAAAGTGATACACCACCAAGTGATACAGTATATGAATGTATTTCAGTGGGAAAAACAGCGTGAAGGAAAACAGAAGCCACAGCTACCCTCGCACACTCGCCCCTATATCTGGAAGCCATCTTGAAGCCCTTTGGATGTCATAGGCAAAGGAACAGGAATATATTAAAATACACGAAAACTTTTCAAGACCTTTGGAAAAAAAGGATGATGTGGGAAGAAAAAGGGAAGCTGAAACTTCAGTTAAACTTCATGGCAGAACCTCTAAGAATGGTTCTTACAGAAAAAGACATAACACCGTCCCCCTCCCCCGTAAAGCCCTTTCCTGATTCCTCCTGCCCTCCTCCCCCAGTGGCAATTCACCGACAACACAGTCTGACATTAATGGAACCCAGGAGTAACCATTCAGGTGGTATAGATGGAGAAACCAGGGTAGCAAAGAGGTAGGGACAGAGAATATAAGTCCCTTGCTTCCCTCCTCTCAAAGAACAGTGATTTCTGAAAGAAATGGCACAGAAGCAGTCTTTCCATGCTGAGTTCCATGAAAACCTTAAAGGCAGTGGAAAAGTCAAGCTACATTGACAGCTGACGAGAGCATAATGACAGGACAGCCACTCGCACCCAGAGAAACTGTTCCTGCCTAGCTTCACTATAAGCTGTGGGTGGTGATAACTCCTAATATGCTGCGGTCTCCCTTGACTACACGTAACAACATGTATTTGCCACCTATGGGATAGACCTGCCCTCGCTGGGGTTCAGAGGCTGAATGCTGGCAGCGCTCCCATTCTTGGTGTTTATCACTAACTGGCTTCTCTTAACAAGCTGCTGAGCAGCGCGAGACAAACATGCCTGTCTGACAAAATAAGAGCAGGCTCTCCTGAGGTTTGTTACACGTTATTGAAATATAGAGGCAATAGTAAAAAATTTACATATTAAATTATATTGTCTTACTATTTTAACTTGATTAACCTGGGAAATAAATATGAGAAAAAGAATACACCTAAAAGTCTTAGCATTAACATAGAGTTTGCTTTTGTCATTATACACATAGTTTGCCATTTCTACATATAATCCATCATCCACGTGCTAATTTCCAAAATGGGAATCTCTTCTATAGTGTAACACAGATCACCGCAGATCCCATTCCCGTACTTTCACTCACACACCCATCCCTGACTCACGTTTGATCCAAATGATCAAACAAATGTCAAATCAAACAGCTAAGAGCGTCTTGCAAACAGCACCAGCAAATGAGAATTCTTTCACATGAAACACAATATGGATGGCTTTTCCTCCTAATGCCTTCTTATGAATGCTGTGCATTTTCCTCAGAAGGTATTTAGTGAGTACAACCATCTCTCTAGTCTAATTCCAACACTGCTTTAATCAGTGCCTTTATTAATACATTTTCCACAATAGAAAAGCACACTCATACACATACTCATATAAAATGCAACAAAGAACACAGTTTCAACATTAATCATGGTTTAAAAATTAACATTTCTAGAACCATGAAAGCTTAAAAAACAAAATTTAAAAGTTGAACAGTTCATGTATTTAAGATAAATACATAAAAGGTATTTTAAGGCAATTCATTGCCCCCTTCCAAAAGAGTTGCAATAGCATCCGACTGCACCTATGATATTAGATGATGGCCAGAAGTCTCTGACATCTTTAAATGGGAAGAGGAGTCATCCTAGCCATGTTCCAAAATGTCAGAGCTAGAAATGAACAAATTTTAAACAATAATAAGTCAACCCAATATTCAGTCATCCAACAACCAGGTAAATGAATCATCACTTTATACAAGGCTCAGATACTCTAAAATGCTCTTCGCTTCACACACATACTACAAAACAAAAATTAAAAGTCACAATGCAAGGGGAAATACTCTAAGATGTAATTGCTGTAGACCGTACATGAAAGTCCTTTACTTTGAGAGTTCTGCCTTGAGGAATAACACCATGCTAAGATGCCTATGTTCCTTGAGGTCACAATGCTCAATGTCTCAGGGGCAGCACTAGGATATGATGTCTGTAAGACTCAAAGGAGAGACACAGGCTTTGATGGTGTGGCGTAATCAGCCATTCTACTGCTTTCTCCTGGGAAAAGCTCCCTAATTAAGAGCATTGGCAAAGGCCTAGAGAACAGGAGGGAAGTGGGACCAGGCTCAGCTAAACATGGAGATGTACAAATAAATCATACTGGGGCAGTTGTAAGGCGCTGTCCCCACGCTCTCAGTTCTTCAATCCTGGACACAGCCCCCTTACCCTTGTGCGTGCATGCTCTCCTCTAACGTCTCCAGGAGAGCATGGTACCTGCTGCTCTCTGTAACCCTGGACATGTGTGCGCCCTCTCCTCTAACTTCTCTTTCTCTCTAGCCCCTTTTACAGGTTGACCCCAAACTCAAATTGGAGGAAAGATGAAGTATTTGGGGTTCCCCTAAGCAGCAATCTGCTTCTTGGTAAGCTGCTTTGGTTACAGAACTACAAGGAATTGTTTCAAATGCTTGACCAGAAAACAGTCATATTAGGATAAGATTACCCCAGTAGGGGTCTGTAGGTAGACAGGAACATTTTAGTCTGAGTGAGAAGAAATATGTCCTAAATATGAAGATAAGGAATTACGGAAAAATATTAATACTTTAGTAATAAGAGGGAAGGGAATACTCATAGCCCACCTACCTTTCTTGGAAGTTTCTGACATTTAGAAAAAAATAAAAACCAAACTTTCTCTCCTGTTATGCTTTTGTACTAGATTAACAGGTGCTTTACAACATGAGGGCAGGAAGCCACTTAAGCACTTGTGGGGAGTTTCTCTCTGAAATGAGCTAACGGAGGAGAGAGCAGGAAAGCTCACTCAAAGAGGTCCTCAAACATCCGCTGACCCATGGCTATGTATGCCTCCTTCTCCTCTGGGGTCATCTGGGCTACCAGCTCTGGCCGCTGGCTAACTTCACTGTAGGAGAATGGACAGCCAGCCACCATAACAATGGGGTCATCAGCTACTTCCTCAAACTCGTCGTCTTCCTCGTCCTCATCCCGGTGATGGGGAGCCACAGCTGCTGGCCGGGGCGGGGAGTCATCATCCGACTCACTGGTCTCGCTCTCCGAGTCACTGCCATTGGCAGCAGTCACTGGCGCGGATGCTCCCACCGAGCCGGCTGTCGCTGAGGATGTCTTTTTCTCATGAATGAGTAGAGCTCGCATGACCTCCTCATTGTCATCAGGCCCTGTGTGGGCTTCCTCACGCTCCTGAAATGTGTCAACATCGATGCCACCTGGAAGTTAAAACCCAGAAAGTCACAACCCCACAATACAAACAGCATTCATCTGTAACTAACGAAAAATAGACTTCAATGTGTTCTGTTTAAATTGGTGACTAACATAGCGCAGACTTCACTGGCTCCATTTTCTGAGCTGCTGTTCTACAGAATATCTAAAACATTCCTTAAAAATTAAGCCTTAAGTAGCACAATGACTAAGTCCAGGGAATTTGCAGGTTTACATACGTTTACCTGGATGTGAATTCTCCCCCTCCCCACAAGCTGCACTATTTTAGGAGGTGATAAAGGGCGCACCTTCTAAGACCCTGGGTAAGAATGTGTGGGACAGCAGCCGGTGTACCGGGGACGAGGGCACAGCCCTTCACCTTGCTCAGAGTAAAAGCCAGAGGCCTTACAATGGCCTATAAAGTGCTACCTTCTCCTGGCCACCTACCCTTATCCGTACTCTGTTCCAGCTACAGCTGGTATTCCTTGTAAAGACAGGCACACTCTCTCAGGGTGTTTGCACTGCCCATTTGCCCTCAAGAGTTCTCCTCTACCGTCCCTCCATCCCATCTTCACCCAACTGCCACTTCATGAAGGCTGTTTGTGCCCAGCACCCGTTCTCTTGCACAGTGACCCGGGCCAACTGCCTCTGTTACTTCTTAAGGATGTGGAGTCTGCCACAACAAAACTCTATTTTCCTTATTCACTATGACCCTATTCAGCCACCGGGACAATACCTGCCACGTGGTAGGCACCGAGTAGAAATTTACTAAATGAATAAAATGGCAGTTTCATTTTCCTGAAGCAAACTGCACAAACTTCAAAGTCATTCAGAAAGGTGCGTGTAGCACCCATACGTGTGGACAAGTAAACAGTAATGCATATAAATATAAACAAATCTTTTAAAAACAGAGATTTACAAACCTAGTTCTTGTTTTGACTTTACAGACAGAACAACATGCTGGCTGTTTTTAATGCTTATTGCTCAACTTCACACAATGAATTTTCAATAAAACCAAGAATTACTCAGGCATCCCCCTTTAAGCCAATTTAATTTTTGACAAAAATCCATGCTATAGCCATATTACTGACTTCTTATTCTTACCTTCCTTCATCTCCTCAGAACCAAAGGCCCCTTGGACAGTGCTCTCTCTCAACCAAATGGGTCTCTCTTTGGCAGATTTCCCCTCCAGCGAGGTGCGATGAACATCATCTTGGTCATCCATATTAATGACCACATTCTGAGTATATAAATCCTCATAAGAGGGGCCTTTGCTGGTCCATGCTTCCCGGTGGTGCCCACCTGCCAGGCCGGCAGCCCCAGCAGTAGTGGCTGCTCGGTCCTTGCTGTAGAAAAAGATTAAAGAACAAGAAGAAAAGTTAAGGTCTGGGCACTGAGCATGAAGGACAGCTGGAGAGAGGGCTAATGCAGTAGCAGTTTGAACAGAAGCTGCCTAGCAATCCGGCAGGCATGCTTCAACAGCTCTCAGAGAGCTCTCTAGAACCCAGGGTGGAAGCTGCATGGATTACATCAGACTTAAATTCTGCAAACACTGCACCTTCTCACATTTATGAATAACCAACGTTTCAGAGATTGTAACATGTCCATTAATTTGCACGGGGAGAAGGACAATGAAAGCCTACTTAAAGATACTAGTCTGGAAAACAGCTCCTAGTCATATTTTCTACGAAAATTTTGTTTAAAACAAAACAAAATAAAGATTATTGTATTTTAAAAATATTTTCTTAGTTTAACTTTAACCTAGGGTGGTTTTGTGTGTGGCTATGGAAGAAGCTAGGAAGTTACTCTACAACGTCAGACCTCAACATAGAATTAACAGTCTCCTCCTGCCTCTCAGAGGACAGAGCGCTCTTCAGAATGCCAGTGCACCTTTCTGTTTCTATAACTACACTATCTGCCCCCAGCCATTTTCCCCCTCACAGGGGCTCTGATCTGTTTCTTGGTCTGGCTTGCTCTTTACTTCTACAGCCTTCCTTGCCTGCTGGAACGCTCTAAGCCTGATGGTCCTTCTCTCTCCAATCACTGGGCTTCCCCATTTCTATGAACCAAGCTAAGTTTGCCTTCTCCCTGCTTCCTATTTTCCCTGTTTTAAAGTTTTCACTCTTGATCTATACTGATTTGTTTCTACCATGCCTGTTGAGAGGTTTCACCCCACAAGCAATCATGCTTCCTGAGATACCTGCTCAGTCTTCTGTGATGTTTGTCCAGCGCCATAGGTACTCTAGGACCGTATGATTCCCCTCACCTCTCTCACAGTTCTCTAAGTCACTTCCCTGCATTCTGTTAGCCTTCTGGAAGTCAGCTCATCTGAATCTTTAGTCATCTTTCCTCACAAGCCACAGGAACCAGCATCCTTGCTGTTCTGTTCGTTCTGGCTTTCTTCCTGGGACCACTTCAGAGCGCCCTGGGCTGTCTGTTACATGTTGAACTGAGTTTCTTCTCGTGCGCCTGTGTAAGAGTCTGGCTGGCTACTCGGCTCTATAACCCTATGCGTCTGACAACTCTCTATAGGTAGTCTCGGGCTTAACCTCAGCCCTCCCGCCCTGCCTCTAGGTCCTATACTTTTGAAACCAAGCAACAAGCTATTTAATGCCCACTTTACAGCAACTGCCTTTGCATTCTTTTCATTATCTTACCTGTACCCAGGGATACTCTGTGCCACCCTTGCCCATAGCCTTTCTCCCTGGCACCAGTTCTATCTAGTCTTAATACTTTCTTTTAACTCCTCTCTACTGTCTCCTTGTTCCCACTCTGGATCTGACCAAAGAGATCCACTCCATCTTTATGTCTTGCTTTTTTAAATATCTCATGATATAATTGCAAGCACTTGACTTCCCTCTACCTTCTGTTCCTTTCTGTATTCAAATGATGTTGACTTTTGTGTTGTTTACCACTTGCCTCACTTTGGCCATATCTGTCACTAGACATTCCACCTCCCTTCACTGCAATCTCACTACTTCAGTGCAGCTCGGCCTTTTACATCGCTCTCTCCCTTAGCATTCATGCTCCTTTCATTTTCTCGTCCTGATTCATTTTTATTTTTGTTCTTATCCTACATGCAGAGTTCTCCCTGCTCATCTCACTGCTTCCCCAACTCCTTTCAATGCTATGCTTTGTCTATCCTCAGCCAACATCTTCACTTTTTCTATCTGCCTCAAAAGTTGCTTCCAGAGTCAGCTAACTCCAGGCAGGAGAGAGAAGGCACAGCGCTCCAGTGTGAACCTGTCCTTACTTTATTACTGTTATTACTTGGTCAACTCTCTGAGGCTGTTTTTCTTTATACATAATCCTCAATCAACTTCATAGGGTTAACTTTTGACTATCTCATGCAGTCAAAAGAGGTACTATGAAGAGATAGAAGGAAATAGTGAGAAATGACAACAGGAATGAATGAAGAAGGCCACCCTTGAAATCTGACTTCCGGGAGGGTAGCAAATGTGATCTCCCTAAAAAGAGGAAACACAGAGGGATGACGCAGGGACTGAAAAGGGACGATCAAATGGAGAGGGCAAGGGAAGGCAAGGTAAGCAGGAAATCCAGAGGGACAACTAAAACTAAGAGCTATTTGAGGGGTTGGACGGAAACCTAATACAGTAGAGGTTTCTCTTCCCTACTTGCCCCAAACAGACATCTCTTGTCACCAAATGAATCTCCAGTGCTGGGAATGGGTTATCTAATTGAGTTGTTGGCCAAAGCTGTCCCATGGAAAGCCCTCCAAAACCCAGACTATTGCCAGGGTCATTGGCTGCTCTCCACAAACTGATGGGTAAGTGCCTATTGCTGAAGACAACCCTGACAACTCTGAACACAGAGAAGTCAAACTGGTGCTTATCTAGAGCCATCACCCCTACTGACTAGCACTGGTGGTAGAGGAGAAGGGGAAAAGCTCCTCTCCGCTGCCAGAGGAGAAGGGGAAAAGCCAACCCAGGTACAAACATGGAAATCTACAAGGTGCCTGCCTGCAGGATACACTGGCGCAATGACGGCACATGAGCTGTGAGCGTAGCTGACCACTATCTCATTGGAGTTAAGACCCACTCCATGCGACGGAGCAAATCATTAACACTGCCCTGTTGGGGGTCAAAGATCTGAGACTAGGTAGGTATGGATCTAGGGGAAAACCAAATACTACTGATTCACTAAAGGGCAGTAGCAATAAGATGATTCCTAATACCATTCTGCTAGACTCAGATCAATGCCTTGCTCAGCCATCTTCAGAGAGGCTTCCTCCTGCAGCAGATGGGAGCAGATACACAGACCCACAACTGGACAATGTGCAGAGAGTGAGAGACCTTGGAACAGTCAGTCCTACATGAGCTGCATTGTCTTCATTAAATCCCTCCCCTCAGTGATCAGGGAACTGCGGAAGATGAGGTGGAAAACCTCTTAAGAGTTAATGGGGGTGAAAGACACCAAGGAAACAGGTCTTCTAGACATATGAGTACTGACACACAGACGAACTGGGGCAGCGTACACAAGGCCTGCACATGTCCAAGCCATTGGGGTCCCAGTGCGGAGGGGAAGGGGACACATGACCCCATCTTTAATCCAGAAGCTAATTGATAATCACTCGCAAAGGAAAAATTAGTTTTCTCCAATGGAATCTCGCTGGGTATATAAACCACACCTAAGGGCAGGCACCATACTCAGCAGATGGCCAACACCAAATGAACTCAACATCATTTTTGGAGGTATTTTGTCTGATAACGCTTCTCTGGGTTTTTTCCTTTCCCCTTTGCTTATATATTATGGTTTCCAGTTTTGTTTTAAGAATTTTCTATGTATGTGAATATGTGTGTCTCAGCATCTGTATGTATTTCTTGTGCCTTTTCTATGGCTCTTTTTTATGTTGGTTTTGTCCTATTCCAGTTTGTCTGTTTTTATTTTATCTTATTTTGTTGATGTTATTATTATTATTATTATTATTTTATTATTATTTAGATGTTTATGTTTTCTCCTGAGAAAAAGAAACACTGTGGATTTGTGTGAGTGGGGAAGTGGGAAGGATTTAGAAAGAGTTGGAAGAGGGAAAATCAGAATCAGAATATACTGTATGAACGAAAATCTATTTTCAATAAATAAATAAATAAATATGAAACAGAAGTGTCAAACCCCCACACAAATACAATCATAATTGTGAGCTCTAGAGTTAGGAGCAGGTCTGTGGATACGAATTCACCTTAGTGTCAGGAAGAAGGAAAGGAAGACGGGGCAGAACAAGAGAACACTCCCTGACACCAGTTCTCCCTCAGGCAATTCAAAAAGTAATCTAATTCCTATGGGTTAGAAAGATGGCTCAGAGGTTAAAGGCATTTGCTGCTCTTGCAGAGAACCTAGGTTTACTTCCCAGTACCCACAGGGTAGCTCACAACTAGCTGTAATTTTAGTTCCAGGGGATCTGATACCTTCTAGCTTCTGTGGGCACCAGACATATATATTTGTGGTGAACTTACATACATGCATGCAGGCAAAACATTCACACACATAAACTAAAAGCAAATAAATTTTTTAAAACACAATGCCTTTTCATGGCATGGTAGAACTAAGTCTGCCTAGTGATTCAAACACCACAGCACATTGAAAAAGGAGGAAGGAGCCACTGTTTGCAGTGTTAACTCACGGCTACACTATATCTTCAGAAGACTGCATTAAAACTGAGCAAGACAAGAAGCATGTGTTTAAAATGTTTCAGAAGACTAAAACAAAATGCTGTATGCTCTCACTCATACATAAGCCCTAGCTTTAAATGTTTACATATGTGTGCATGTGAGTACACACATGGGTGTTGGTCATAGAACTAGAGAGAGAACAATAATTAGAGGTTTTGAGGCACAAGGGGTGTGGATCTCGGTTGGCAAAGAATAAAATATATGTGACATCAAAATGGAAAGAGGAGGGGACCGTGTGGGATGTAATGGTGTATATGGGGGCTGCAAGTGGAGGCAGGGGCCTGGCAGAGAAATCAGGGAGGAGGGTCAGTAAAAACGAAGCACATATGCAAACAGTCTAGCAAAGTGTACATGCTAATACAAAAGCAAACACAAATCTATAGGAAAATGCTGTATTCCTGAGAGAATTTTGGCCTTTAAAAGTTGACTACGAGTCAGGCAGTGGTGGTGCACGCCTTTAATCCTAGCACTCAGGAGGCAGAAACAAGTGGATCTCTGAGTTCGAGGCCAGCCTGGTTCCAGGACAGTCAGAGCTACACAGTGAAAGCCTATCTCGAAGAACCAAAAAAATTAAGAAAAATTAAAAAAAAAATGACTAAGAAAATTTAAATATTCCCAAGAGGCACAACTAATTTGGGATTAGCTACAATTGGCTGAGATTTGCAGGCTCAACCAGGAATGGTTGAGGTGAAACCTGACTACTTAAAAGATTCTTGTCGCAGGCTTCCATTCTACTACATTCAGTAACAACAATCTGATTACAGGCACAAGTTAATAAGACAAGCACGGCAGAGCTGAGAACCTCTGTGGCATTCAGTCTTCAGTTTCTGGAGTGTTCACTCTGGCCCTCCAAAATCAAAACCAAAGCAAGGTGGAAAAGGTCAAGGCACAGGCTTCCACTCACCTCTGCTTCAGGGCCGGAATTTCTGTGGGTTCTGGTTCAAGTATCTCATAGGCCAAGTTTACATCCTCTGTCTCCCGAAGCAATGCATAAATCGGCTCAATTTGTTCATTAAATCTTGCCAAAAGTGTGCGAGCATCTTTTTTGGGCATTGCTGATTCATCTTCTTCTACCTCTGTGTGGCAAAAGGTACAGCGGAAAGTTCCTACAGAAAAAGTCAAATCTCAGGTCAGAAGAAGGAAGTATTCCAGAGAAGCCTTAGCTCCATGCCTCCACCAATGTTTTAGTAAAACTTTTACATCAAAAAGTCAAGAAAAACTGTACAATGATTACCTATGTACCTACCATCTAGATTCTACAATTTTCTAAAATTTCTAAAATTTCTTATTTACCTGATATGTCCATCTTTATACATGCCCATAATTTTTATGCATTTCAAAATTTCATCCCCAATAGTTTTTGAAAATCACAACATTTCTAATACATTTATATTTATTATAATTTACAGCTTATTACTTAAAGCTTAGTGCTTCCAAAAGTTTTCTTCATATATTACACAATTGGATTAGTATTTTAGAAAACGCCACATAAATACCTAAAACTAAAAGCTGTTCGTGGTTTCAGGCATTGCCACAGGGCTATTTCTTTTATTTGTGGTGTTTTTTAAGAGTTTTTAACTGTATGCTTGTGTGCGCACACATACACATGTATGTGCAGGTGCCAGTGAGACAGAAGATGGTTAACGACCCCGCAGCTTAAATTGCATGAGGCTGTGAGCTGCCTGACTGACATGCTGAAAACTAAACGCGGATCGTCCTCCGCAAAGGCATGGGGTGCTCTTAACAAATAGCCACCTCTTTAAGGGCTATCATTTCATGTTTATATACTATTTGTAGTTAAAGAAATGTATTCAAAGCAATCTCAAAAGAAATTCAAGGAACTTATTTTGCTTTCGTATCCCTTACATTCAACATAGAACTGCAATGATATTTAGGCTCTCCTCCCCAGCCCTGGTTCCTGTACCACCCTAGTTATTACCCTAACCTCCTGATCTGAAGTCTATTTGATAGCTCAATCTCTAACACCTGCAAAGTAATATCAAGACCCTGCAAAATTTGGTCCCAAAATATTATAACCCAGTCATAAACATCTGTGATTAACAAATCCTTTATTTACACAGTGTTGTTTCTAAAGTATGCCCTTGCACTTTTTGATCTATACACTAATTCTGGAAAGGGCCAGCAGAACCAAGGCTCTCAAGGAATTCATAATTTGTCCAAAGTCATACAGCTAATACAGGAAAATAACAGCGCCTTTAGCTAGGACTGTACCGTGATGGATAGCATCAAGGTCACCCAAATAGCGGGGCGATGGGGAGGAATCAAATCAGCTCAACTATGATGCTAACTAGTGTCTTACTACCTAACAGTCTGCACTACTACCAGACGTGCGATTCCAGTTTGGCCTTACTCCCAGGGCATGCATTCCTCCTTTCCTACAGAACTACCTGAGGGATTAAGGAGGGTAATTGACTACTAGTGCAGGACACATAACAAGGACTATCTCCTCCCCTCTTTCCCAGTAACAGAATAAACAAAATAAGCATTTCTATTTCCGTATGACACCAAATCCTCCAGACATTTTCCCAATTGAATATGTTTCCAGGCCTCCTACCCCCATGGCCAAGAATAAGCGAATGCTTTGATCACTCATCACTTCTAGAACATTATCTTCTCAATTTTCTACATCCATCCCCAGTACAGAAGAGGACGGACAGTACCTCAAAGCTAGGAGGCAGCCCAGACCTCATGGCTAGGCTGTGGTTGGTTGGTTGGTCAGAAAGAATGTCACATTAAATGTAACCATCAAAGAAGCGAATCAGAACCAAGTCATGTAGAAGACTGCCTGATAGACAGACATGGACTCTGCAAAACCATGGACAATTTCCAGTGAATCTAAGTTACTACTGATCCTTTGCCAATCAGTTTTACCCTTTTGCTATTCTAGCCACATACATAAGATACGGCTATTAAATCTATTAAAACACCCCATTAAAGAACTAACCCCATTTTTATTTAACATTTTAAAGTAATATTTATATGTGTATCTGTGTGTATGTATGTATACAGTCACATGTAAGCACCCATATACATGTCATAGTGTATACATAAGTCAGTTCTCTCTTCCCGAGTGTGGGTCCCACTCGGGTTCTCAGGTTTGGAGGCAGGTACCTTTACCCACTGGGCCAGTCACCAGTTTTTGAATCCTCTAGAAAATTACCAAAGTCTCTCAAGCACCATGTTACTAAAACAGTTGAACACACCTCTTGACATGTAGTTTCTCTTGCATGTGCAAATTTAAGTGTTTGTTATATGCATGTCTGGCTAAAGAACATAAAGATTTTGGAGTCATCGGGGCTGGGAGGACAGCTCAGACAGTAAGTAAAGTGCTTCCATTGAAAACATGAGGACCTAAGCGCAACCCCATAACCCAGGCTTAACAAAGAAAAGGCAGGACACGTAGTATGTATTTATATATAGTTCCAGTACTGGGGAGATAGGCACATCCCTGAGGATCAGCCTGTCTAGCCTAAGAGACAAGTGCCAGGCCAGGGAGGCACTCTGACTTAAAAATATAAAATAAAAAGGACGGCATTTGAGGTACCAACACTACAGGCTGCATGCTCCTGCATACAAACCAACATGTACATACAAAAGACATGAGAATTATCAACTGGACAAGAATACCATTTACCAATGTTAAAAAAAATAAGTAATTTTCCTTTTCTTTTTTGATAAAAAACATCACATTGCTTTTAGATATCTGAATATATGTTATTAATATGTTATTCATTGACTGTTAAAACAGATATGCTTTAGAAGCCCACTTACTACAACTATTGAAAGCTCAAGAGAGGCTATCAGACTAGAAAATCAAATATGAGAGTACAAAACACAGGGGTGGTAACTAATGCCCAAGTAGATCACATATCCAAAGAGACTTGGGAGAGCAAGTACAAGAATCAATAGACAAACTCAATGCAAGAAAGTTTCTTAAGACAAGAGATGACAACTTCATGTGGAAAAACAAAAAACCCAGGATAGCTAAAACAATCCTGTACAATAAAAGAACTACCAAAGATATCACCATCCCTGATTTCAAGCTCTACTGCAGAACTATACTAATAAAAACCACATGATTTTGGCATAAAAAACCAACAGGTAGGTGAATGGAATCAAATCAAAGACCCAGAAGTAAATCCACACACCCGATTTTCAACAACAAAGTCAAAATTATATAACGGAAAAAAGAAAGCATCTTCAACAAATGGTGCATGCAGAAGAATGCAAATAGATCCACACATCTATCACAAAAATAGCCCTGAACACATCGGCACAGGAGACAACTTCCTGACAGGACACCAATGCACAAAGGCTAGGATCAACAATTAATAAATGGAACATCACTGTCAATAGGACAAAACATAAGCCTACAGAATGGGAAAATATTTTCACCAACTACACATTTGACAAAGGACTAATATCCAAAATATATAAAGAACTCAAGAAACTAAACAACAAACCAAATAATCCAATTAAAAAATGGGGCACACACCTAAACGAGAGAATTCTCAACAGAGGAATCTCAAACGACCAAGAAACACTTAAAGAAATGTTCACTATCCTTAGCAGGAAATTTAATTTGCAGGAAAATGCAAATTAAAATGACTCTGAAATTTCATCTTATACCAGTCAGAATGGCTAAGATCAAAAATACAAATGACAGTTCATGCTGGAGAAGATGTGGAGCAAGGGGAACACTGCTCCATGCAATGCATGGGAGTTGGTGGGAGTGCAAACTTGTACAGCCACTTTGGAAATCAGTATGGTGATTTCTCAGAAAATTTCCCAGTTCAAAATCTCAATCTACCACAAGCCCAACTATACCATTCTTGGGCATATACCAAAAGGATACTCAGTCACACCACAAGGACACTTGCTCAACTATGTTCATAGCAACTTGATTTGTAATAGCAAGAACCTAGATGTCCTTCAACTGAGGAATGAATAAAGAAAATGTGGTACATCTACACATTGGAGTTATAATTTAGCTGTAAAAACAATGAAATCATAAAATTTGCAGGCAAATGGATGGATCTAGAAAAAAAAAATCATCCTGAGTGAGGTAACCCAGACTCAGAAAGACAAACAATATAAATACTCACTCATAAGTGGATATTATCTTATAAAATAATGGATAGCCTTGCAACAATCCACAGAGAGACTAGGTAAGAAGGAGGGTTCACGGGAGAGGCAGACACTCAGATCTTCCTGGGAAGGGGAAATAGCAGAGACTTTTTGAGTGTACTGAGGGCAGGTGAGGATGGGAACATGAACAACCATGTTGGAGCGAGGCGGGGGGGGCATTTTGGGGTCAGGTAAAAATCTGGTGCAAGGGAATCTCCCAGGAATCCACAAGGATAACCTTAGTTAAGGTGGCTAGCAATAGAGGATATGTAGCCTAAACTGGCCATCTCCTGTGATCAAGCAAGACTTCAAGGGGAGGGAGTTGGGAAACCAACCCAATTCATGTAACCTTCAACCTACAGTCTGTCTTGCCTACGGGATGTGCTGGGGTAAGGGTGACCTATACACATAGATCGGTGCCTAGCCCAATTGTCATCAGAGGTTTCATTGAGGAACTGGTGAAAACAGTTGTGGACGCACAGCCAAGCCTTCGGCAGAGCTCAGGGAATCCTACAGAAGAGGGGGAGAAAGGATTACAGGAGCCAGAAGGGCCAAGGACACCACAAGAAAACCCATAGAATCAACTAACCTGGGCTCACAGGAGCAAACCGACAACCAGGGAGCCTACATGGGACTGACCTAGGCACACTGCATATATGTTACAGTAGTGTAGCTTGGTCCTCTTGGGGGACTCCTAACAGAGGGAACAGGGGCTGTCTCTGACTCTTTGACTGGCTTTGGGACCCTACTCCTCGCCGGCCTTAATACAAGGGGAGGTGTTCAGTCTTACTGCAACTCGATGTGCCGTATCCTTTTCGTTCACATGCACGGGGGACCTACCTTTTCCTGAAGAGAAATGGAGGAGTGGATTAGGGGGTAGGGACTGAGGTAGGGTGGAGGGAGGAACTGGGGATAGAGAAAGGAGGGGAAACTGAGGGCAGGATGTAAAACAAACATA